TGGTTTCAGACTTTTTGGTGTTCATTTTAAATACTATTGTGCACACTTTTACGTTACTGTTACTGAAACGATATCCTAACATCAAGTGAACGTACCAATATTTTCATTTAACAATGATGTTTACATTCGGTGCAAAGAAAGATGAAAAACTATCAACAGTGTTACAGCGTTCGAATACTTTTGTGAGTCGCTTACCATGCCTCTTTCTAATAAATCTATCATAACTCCTCTTTACGTTGTTGAATGCTTTTCAAGTTTTACTGGCATAATCTTAAGACTTCCATCTTCCTATTGACATCTACTTGTTTCAGCAAATTGTTTTAATGTACATTATTTCGGCCATTCAAGTTTGCATATGTAAGCGTTCGAATACTTTCGTGAGCCACTGTATTTCATGAGTGTCAGTGAATGCGTGTTGGGGTAAATAAAATGACCTAAAACTAGTTATACCGTAAACAACCCCCTTAAGAGACTGAAAGTAGAGCGATGGATAGCCGAACGATACAATGGAGATAACCAGACGGGACAATTTGCAATTCACGTATGCGACAGAAGTTGAAAATTACAAATTCCTCTGTCCAGCAAACGCCCACCGGAGAATTCATTTTCCTCCCACCCCACCCCTCCAGCGATGCGTTTGGCAATGCAAAACTTCAATCGTCCAGAGACTCGTTCAACCCCGCCAAATAATTTGATTCGTTCCCATCAAAACGAAAGCACCGCGTCCGGTTGTCATGGATGTAATATAAAAAAGAGGACCGTCATCGAAGCCACGATCCGAATACCGAATCCGAATACCACCGGTCAAGTCCCGTGACTGAACGGACGAACGTGATTGTACCGTTACCGTGACGTCAAATTTTATTGCGACCCATTAAATACTCTTCATCCCTGGCACGTTAAATCGCGTGCACGTAGTCGGTTTCACGACATTTCGCGTCTGTGGGGAAAAGATCGGCGAAAGGGCGACCGAGAAAGATGGAGAAACGAGCGCACACCTAATTAGCTTCTTCTCGAAATACGTGGCTACATAACAACCGACCTTGCATGGCCCGCATTACCGTCACGCCAGCTGCAGGACGGATGCAGTTTTGTATGCATGCGAGATTCTTTGAAATAGATGATAACTTTGCAGCACTTTCTGGCATCAACGCGAATGTTAATTGCGCCGATATAGCCCGGATCTCTTGGCAGGCTGCGCCAAGATGGAAATTTGTTTAATAAATACGCGTGCTGCCCGCGCCGCATCTGATTCGCGCGTTTATGCGTCGTTCGAATTCCTTTGGCCCGATTCGAAAGAAACGATTCATTCGTTTTCTACTTTTGCAACGTTGTGTGTGTGTAATGTAATTCGATTACACTTAGAGGAAGAGCACTTGGAATACCAAATGGTTCAAGACGAATAAAAAAAATTGTATGATACTTCCATGTTCCCAACTCTCGGTAATAACGAAAAAAAGTATCTGAAACTTCTGTCTAACTAAAAAGAGACGCAGAGTAACGATTTCGTTACTGCGCTGGTTACTTGAAATATCGATGTTCCTTCACTTTATAAAATTAAAAAAACAAATGAAATCATTCTTTCTTGCAACCTCGTCGGGTACAAAAATCAGAATATCTTCCACGAGGTTTCACTGTACCTAAATGAGCGATGTGTAATCGAAATGCAATGTAATTAAATTGTATAATTTGAGTAGAATGTAATTGGGAACGGGCTGCCCTCGGTTTCGTGGCCTCCGCTACATGTTCGCCGGCCATATTTCACATTTCGTCTTCCTCCGCGGCGGTTCCCGGTAATAACGCGAAATTAGCGTTTACGTATACAGGTAAATTGAATTTCCACACGATCCGAACACGACGGAGGCCACGTCCCGACCGGACCGTGCAAAAACAATGGAGAGGCGGGCAGAAACGTGTGCTCGTGACGAAGGCCAAGGTGTGCTCCAACATCGTCGACGCGACTCGTAATTTATCGCGACTCGTCACGTGCTTCGCCACCACGGAAGAATGGACAGGTGTACGGGCAACGAGCGCCATTGACCCAGATATTGGTTAAGCATTGACTTATGCACTCTCTCTGACTCCTTGGCTTCGCGAGCTCGACCAGGAAGAATACATTTTCCACGGTTAAAGCACGGGACTGTTCCGCAACTCCCATTTTTCGCGCCGCGCTACCACGCTGATAACAATGGCCCACGAGATTGCTTTTCAAGGCTTGATTTATATGGGTGTCAAGCCGGTGCCTCGACCGTTCAACTTCGCGGGGAAAACGCATCTTGACGGTGCGTTTTCGCGTGTCACATTTTCCAACGAGACGAAACGGCGAACAACGAACGTCCAGGACTTCCTGAACCGTGGGGATTGATAGCATAAAATATTTGAAACGGTACTCGTCTTGTCGCCCGGAAACTAATCATGGACAAAGTTTCTTGAACTATCCAGTTAGACAAGGATTGATCGATACCACTGAAATAATTTAAAAACTTTTAAAGTGTTATAACTTACTACTCTTGAGCTGTTACGATTAAGCGTTCTTGAAGGCAAATTTTGTTTCAAATCGATACCGTAGTTAATTCCGGAGAAAATAATTATTTAAGAAAAAATTGAAATTTTTTTCCAAGTAAATAAACAATTTATAATCCAATCGTATAATAGATAGGAATTGCTGGAACTTCTTTGGGCGAGATACAAGGGTTTGAAGTGTTTGTTTACTTTTCATTGCTTACGTCGCGAGGTCAATGAACTTTCACTAAACAGAGACAGAGATAGTCGAATTAAAAAAATTACACCTTTATTTAAATTACGATATCTCCAAAACGAAAAGTCGAATTGATATGTGTTGAGGGGTTGAGCAAAATAATTTAATTTGTTGAAAGAAGCTTTCTAATATGCTGAGCTTCACACGTCAACGTTAATGACGAGTGAATAGTTGTGGGATACGGAAGGTAAAACAAACCTTTAATCACAATCAGTGGAATTGGTAACAAGCAATAACTATTTATTCTAAGTCAGATAGCCGAAATGTATACAGTCTTGAAATACTAGTGATGATTGATGGTTTAGAGTTAATCCATGCAGATATGAATGAGTTTAATAATTAAATAGCCAGCCTAATGGCACTTGATTATAGGCAAAACTTGATTGTTTGAAAGGTCTGACTCTACATCCGCTGGCTTTATGAATTCACTGTTACGCTGCAACACAGAATAAATTGTAATTGTTTTCTCGTCGTAACAATATGAAACTGAATGTTAGATATTCTAATCGAAATTTAAAAAACGGTCAGATTTAGTTTTTATATCTTTTTCAAGATATAGGAAAACTGCCTCGAATTGTACGATCGAAGTTATAGAGTTTCGTCTTTAAAAAAATGATGCAATTTTTAGATATATCGACGCATAAAAATGAACAAAATTATACTCGGTTTGAGAGACGTAGCTTCACCATGTACAGTCGACGGATAACCCAGCAGCGTATTATAATTTTTCTGGCCGCTCGGACAGTTAGTTGTACGCGACGCAATTTCTCGCGGGAAATAAAAAAGAGAGAAGTTCCGTCCCTTTCTGAATGCACTTTCAGGGCGATGCATTAACACGTAATGATACCATGGGTACGCGGATTGAAGTTCAGAAACGAATAACTTCCATTTGCGCGTTTCGCGGCTGCGAGGTGTCGCTCGCCCCGGGGGCAGAGGGAACGAAAAAGACAAAAGCCATTAGACGCGAAGCAGAAGGACAAGGCTGTAAACGGCCAGATGCGACGTAAGAAACTTTAATACGCGCCCGCGGTTCGTACACGGTTTCCACGACTCCACGAATCGTCGTCCCTAATTCTCTACGTGCTACGAGGGCCGCTTTCAGCCGCGATGTGTTTCGCTGAAATTAAATTGACGTCACGCGTGTAAACCGCGTTCGTTAAAAGTGCAACCGTCCACCGGTTAGGTTGTCGAATACGTTCCCGCGCGTCCGTACAATTTTCGTAATTAACGCTACGCCTCGTTTGGATGCAAAGACGAAGCTGGTTCTTGGCCAAAGGCGTCGTTAACGCACTCTCTGGTGGCCGACGTTTTAACCTTACAACGCGTTTCGAAATTGTTTAACAATGATTCGAAATAACAAGTACGTAAATTATCGAAGATTTTTATCCCTGATAAACTATTTTTGAATAAATGGAGATGTTAAAACGTCGAAATGTTAATAGTAGAAAACAAGAAGCCATTTGACCAATACTATATTCCACAAATGAGAAATCAAATAAACCATCGATGAGAAAAATATTATTTCAGAAAAATGGTAATTTTCTTTTATGACAAGGCTATTGTATTATCTGGGGTGTTACTTTAATCTCAAAAATTCGAAAGAACTTGCTCGATCTAATGCCACTGGCACTTTCGTGATTAAATAAGAAATCCGCGAACCCACCGACAGGGTCGCTTTGATTTACAGCGTTTTTTCAAACGAACTCACGGTTCGAAATTAATTTCTCGATGGAAACGGGTGCACCCGACGTCTGGAAACAGATATTAACCGGCATCTACGCTAAAGTGTAATTTATTTCCGTGATATGGATCATCGACGCGCGACGATCCGTCGAGAAATCAAGATCAGAAGCGTGTAATGACTAGCCGACGCAAACGGAACGACGATAGAAAAATTTTGCATAAACGAGAATCGATAACGCGCCTGCGCCGTTCAATGGGGCGCGAATTAAAATACTTGAATACTTACGGCCCGGTATTTGTAATTTTAAATCGGCTCGATGCTTGAATCTTTTAATAAATTAATATCTAAATTAGTTGAAATTTAATATGCAACTTCACTGTTTCGATCAGTATCGTTCGAAAGATTGATTACGCCTCTTTGATTCGTTGTGCATCGCGTTCGTCGAAATGCGAGCAGCTCGTTTAAAAATTCGCTCGATATAGCCGCAATGGAAATCGATAAGAAACGGAAAAGACAATCGCGAAACAGATCTAACGGAAAATGTTCGTCTCGTTGCAGGCGTTCGAGGAACTGGAAGATCTGTTGGGGAAGTACAACATATGTATCGCTGTAAAGGAGAGACTGGTGAAAGATTCTGGGGTGGCGAAGGAAACGGCGTACGACCACATCGTTTTGAAGCTTCTAACGAAACCGAGAGCAAGAGGTGAGTGTATCTATGAAAAGAAAATACTTTACGAACTATTAGGTCCAGTCATAAGTAACTTCCGATAAGTAGAATCTATTGTTCGTATCTACCCGCTATGAGTTACCATGACAACAAGTTTTTGTTTTCACTATATAGACGAGGCTTCAGTTAGTCTTTAGTCAACTGTTTTGTGTGATACAAGTTACGTTAAACTGTTTTTTTTTAACCTCTGAAATGGAGAGTCAAGAAGTACATATTAGTCATGTAATGCTTTGGAAATTTAAACAAGGCAATGCTAAGGCGACAGCTGAAAAAATATGCAGTGTATATGGTGAAGGACTTATAACTGATCGGGCAGTTAGAAATTGGTTTATAAAATTCCGTTCTGGAGATACGACCTTAAAAGACGAACCGAGGGCGGGACGTCCTTCCGACTTTGACGACAACTTCTTAAAGGCAATATTGGAGAAAAATCCACGTCAATCAACAAGAGGTATAGCAGAAAGGTTGAATACATCACGATCAACTGTTAACCGCCACCTGGAGAAATTAGGGAAAGTCAGCAAGTTAGGAGTATGGGTACCTCACAATCTCAGTGAACGGAGTAAAGAAGATCGCATGTCTATCGCCACAAGTCTGCTCTCACGCGTAAAAATTGAGCCTTTTTTAAACAGGATTGTAACACGCGATGAAAAATGGGTTACCTATGACAATATAGTCCAAAAAGACAAAAGACAGTGGCTTGATAAGGATCAACCACCCCTACCAGATCCGAAAGCAAATATCCATGGCAAAAAGATTTTATTGTGTGTATGGTGGGATTGTCAAGGAATAATTCGCCACGAGTTGTTGATGTCAAATTTAACGATTACTGCGGCTAGTTAAGTTCAGCAGTTGCAAAGAGTACACGAAAAACTCCATGAAAAGCGTCCTGCACTCGTCAATCGTAAAGACGTCATTCTTTTACACGACAATGCGCAACCACATACAGCAAGGGTGACTCAAGAAAAAATTCTTGAGCTTGGATGGTCTGTTTTACCACATCCACCTTACTACCCGGATCTTGCCCCGAGAGACTACCACCTTTTCTGTTCCTTACAAAACTTTTTGAATGGAGAAACCTTCAATTCTGAAGAGCAAGTCAGGCAGGCTGTCGAAAACTTCTTCCAGTCCAAACCAACCACATTTTACAAGGAAGGAATTGATAAACTGCCAGGAAGATGGGAGAAGGTTATAGATAATAGTGGCTAATACATAATAAATTAATATAATTTTGTTATTTAATGAGAGCAAAATAAATGTCTGATAAAAAAACAGAAGTTACTTATGACTCGACCTAATAGTACTAGCAGTTTGGATTTTTCCGGTGTGGATGAAAAATCGACTTCCTATTAATTGCATTTTCTACAACTTTGAAATTACGTTAAGAACCTTAAAATCTTAAAATTACATCTTCGCAACTTCATAGCGATATTTGAAGGTTTAAAAAAGTTATAGACTTTTGAAGAAAACCTTATATAGGTCAAAGGAAACGATTTAAAACTTTAAAGTCGTTTTCCTCGGAACGACTTTTCTTGGCCTGCTGTTGATAAAATCTGGAAAAAGTAATGAAATTGGTTTGGCTTGAAATTTTACATGCACATTACACGGTTGGTGCAGTATCGATTACTGTTTTCGTTTTATTAAGCTAAGTTATTCTAATTCCAGGGCAAAATTCGTACGTTTTTCATCCAAAGATCGATCGTTTTTTACTTTCTCAATTTATTAAATAATTCTGTATTAAACAAGAAACGTCTCCATAATTATTGGATATATTGTTTTCTGGTACGAGCAATTACTGACATGGTCACTTATTTTTTGTCAATTAGATTACTACGTCACTAAATTATTCTAATTACAGGGCAAAATTCATACATTTTTCATCCAAAGATCGTTCGTTTTTTACTTTCTCATTTTATTGAATGGTTCTGTATTAAACAGGAAACGTCTCCATAATTATTAGAAATATTGTTTTCTGGTACGAGCAATTACTGACATGGTCACTTATTTTTTTTTAATTAAATTACCACTTCACTCGAATATCTTTTAATTTTGTTGAATTATATTTGTGGTTAAGTTTAAAATTTAATACCCCGCGGTACCAAATTTTATTCTTGTAGATAATAGATAATTCATTTTAAACGCACACGATTTCGAGACTCATTTTAGGGTCCAACAAACCAGAATCCTGCCTCAAGCTATGGCTATCGGAAAGATAACATTTTATGGGATATTTTGTATTTTATGTTAGAAATTTATTTCATTCCAGCAGGTGTTCAAATGTCCCGCCATGAAAGTTTGAGCGTTTTATCACTCCCTTCATTAAATTTTTTATTACATTTTTATGTTGTACGACAATTGATCTCGCGCAATTAATCTTAATTTTCATTTTCGTGTTATCGGCTGGGCAGAAAAGTGTAGTACGAATTCATATCGAGCGATTTTTAGAAAAATATACTGGAAGTAGCTCTAACAATTATAAGCAGCGTGTATCCGACAGCTGGGGGTCAAAATGTGTATTTAAAAAATGAAATAATGTTCCCCAAAGGATGTTCCATTGGACATAGTCGCGCGAAATTGGAGATGACACTGATTTATTGGAAGTCTCAACCCTGATTTAATAGACTGTTGTCACAAACGCGTAAAAAAACGTAGAACGCATATTAAAGCTGTCTTTACGCGCCGATGGATAAATCGTTTCAAGAACCCTCGAAAGACGCTTCGGTGATGGGACATTTTTCAACGAAATAATAACTTTTAAAAAAAAATTTCGAAGTGGTCGAAATTTCACACTGTCGTTGAGCTCATAAATATTAGAACACTTGACCTAAACGTTATCAATATATTAAGTATCGTCAAAAGAAGTACAATAATCTTGGGGTTATTTTAAAGGCTGAAACCTCAATTTTCACATCGCTGTATCGAATTTTTTCTTTTATATTAAAAAGTTTGTAAAAAAGTGAAGAGGATGTCTCTCTAAATATTGCTTCAAATTCTAACATGTTCCAAGGGTTTAAAAAATTTGAATTCGAATAAATTTCAAGATTAAAGCCTTCTCTTTGGGTAAATTACACATTCTCTGTTTATTGAAAAATTCTGATACGTGTATATTTATTTCCTCGGTATTTCTGAATGATTTTCCATCGAGAGAATTCTTTAGCAAGGTTTAGTGAACAGAATGGTTGGAGTAAAAGATCCCAGCCTAGCTGCCATAATTTTTGTCCCGTCGTTAAACACATATGGGGTCGTATGTTATCAGGAAAACAACCCCTTTTCTAAATACGATCAATGGCTATTTCTTCGGTACGGTTGCCTTTAATTTATCAAGTTGCGAACAGTATATTTCGGTATCCGTAGTAAAAGTTTCTAATAAAGTATCAAAGTAAAGCGAATTCCAGTAGCGAATCCCTTTTCAAATATCGGGGAACGCATGTACGTTTTCATTCGATCGCAGAGGAATGAAAAACCATATAGAGAAAGGGAAAAACTGTGTGTCGTCCGAATAAACATTAACGGAATACCTGGAAATTTCGAGTGACCTCACACGCGTGCAAAACAAAAAGAAGCTTACGTCAAAGTCCCTTTTATATTTTTTTGTCAATTCTCTGTGTGTCTCGTTTTCGAGGCACACAGGGTATGTTTCACAGGTTTGGAACAGGACGTTTATCGCGAAAAAGAACGACCATCGACGAGGATGGTCGCCATTCGAGGATCCCTAACTCTAAATCCTTCTACCGAAACTTTAGCAATTGGTTCCCATTCAACGAAATACAAGTAACTCCTACAGTCACTCGAAGACTAAACCGGTCAATTTACAATTCTCCTACCCTTAAAATAATTTTCTTCTTCTTACTATTTTGTATGTATTCCGAGGAGGTAGAATCATACATAGAATAGAAATATTAAAAAATAGATATGTCATTTGGGGCTACCAACTATTACAATATGTAGAATCAACTAGACATATGATTGGTAATATTTTGAAGTATTGTGTCGAATCAATGTTAACGTCATAGGTTGATACAAATATTCATTTCTTCTGTATTCTGTTATTTTGTATAATATTTTGACTGCCTATGCTGAGAAACGAATATTTGTACGCCACTCGAGTCGCAAGAAACTCTATGCTCCCACACATGACACCCAATCAGAGAAAGAGTTACCGATACGACTGGAAAATATCAGCTATTTAGTTTCCTTTGGGAGAACAGACCAACCGTACTGCGTTCAATGGCGATTGACGTATCGTAAACCTACACGCAACGAAAAGGGGACTCTAATTTATAGACCACTTTCCTTAAAGCCAAGGGACTTGTGCAACGTCCCTGCAGTGCCTGCATGCAGAATAAACGCATCAAGCGTTGCACAAATTAGAAACACCGTCCTAAATCTGTAATAGAAGCTTTGTAATCTCGCTTGCTTCGATCAGATAAATTACACGAATTAAAAATAAAAGGAACACGTATCGGAAACAAAATCGACCAGTTAAAAGTTTCGATTACATATTGAATAGGTGAAACATTCGACTAAAGTTGCCACTGTGTTTTCTTAAATAAAGGGGAAGACAAATTAATCGTAAAAAATGCAAACTATTCTTTAACATTTCTTGACCAGAGTAATCTTTCACGAATACTTCAACCTCGACGAAGGTTCGACTATTAACTATCTCTTAACTTTGGGGCTATTATATCGAAATGTACATTTTATTGAGGCTAACCCAGACTCCGGATCATAAGGTCCATCGTTATCGATCTAAAACGGATTATAGTCCGTGGCTTTATTGGTAGTCTGAAGCTGATTCTTAACGTCTGAAGTTGTTCCCGTTGTTCCCAACGGGATTCTAGATTACACGAGACTTCATCAAGGGCCGGTGTATCGTATAAAATGAACCATAAGGTCGAAGAGCCGGGCAGAGCACGTAATGGCGAAACTTTCCCATGGTACATGTTTGCATAAATGTGGCCATTGTACTACGGAATCTTCGAGATTTTTTAACGGAATTTCCAATTTCATTTCTCGAAAACATAATTAGAAAACCCTCTGAAACTAGCAAAACTCTACAGTAACGTCATTAACTGAGGAAATACAAAATAAAATAAAGATCCAACTTGTACTCCCTTTTCTAATTTTCATACATTTTAAAATATAAGAAAATCCACATTTTTGATGAACAAATAAAACGAACGAAATATTGTCGATTGTTCAGGTGACAGTAATTTAATTTATTTTCGAGGAACAAGAAGATTTCAGGGATGTCCTATTATTTTAAAATAAATTTGATCCAACTTGTACTCCCTTTTCTAGTTTTCACATATTTTAAAATATAAGAAAACCCACATTTTTGATAAACGAATAAAACGAACGAAATATTGTCGATTGTTCAGGTGACAGTAATTTAATTTATTTTCGAGGAACAAAAAGATTTCAGGGATGTCCTATTATTTTAAAATAAATTTGATTCAACTTGTACTCCCTTTTCTAGTTTTCATATATTTTAAAATATAAGAAAACCCACATTTTTGATAAACAAATAAAACGAACGAAATATTGTCGATTGTTCAGGTGACAGTAATTTAATTTAGTTCCGAGGAACAAGAAGATTTCAGGGATGTCCTATTATTTTAAAATAAATTTGATTCAACTTGTACTCCCTTTTCTAGTTTTCATATATTTTAAAATATAAGAAAATCCACATTTTTGATGAACAAATAAAACGAACAAAATATTGTCGATTGTTTAAGTGACAGTAATTTAATTTATTTTCGAGGAACAAGAAGATTTCAGGGATGTCTTATTATTTTGTCACGGAATGTACCTAACGTCTTACGCTTCCTGTTGCCCGAGTACGTACATAACGACCGTGCTTCTTTAATGTAAAGACCTCCAGACAATGTGTCTGTTTCGCCCGAGTCAACATTGCGCGTCCCATTCAACTCGTCGGCGGAACGAGGAATAAAAAATATTCACAGCCCAGAAAGGAAAAAGAGCATGGAAAATGTTTGAAAGGTCTTGCAACTTTAAACCGTGCTGTCCCGAACCTCCTATACCATCCGCGTTCAAAGTAATTAATTAAGACGCTGCGGTTCATCCGCTTCGCAGAAAAAAAAAGACGAGCAACGGGCCAAATTAAACGCCGCCATCTTTATAAACTTGTCCGTCCGTTCCTTTCGGACCTTCGAGAGGCAACGAACTTTCTCATCGTTTCGACCTCTGGAACTCTTCAACTGAAATCTATTAGGTTGCTAACGAAATTTCGAGTAAGTGACAATGAAAAGAAGGAAATCAAGAACTAATTATAATTTAATATCTCGAGAAACTTTGTTCGAGATTAGATCCTCAGAAACAGGATACTATTTCAAAAATTTCATGCTATACTGATCCCACACATTCAAAGAGTTATGGAAGTTTGAGTAAAGTTTTTATTACAAATTGTGACTTTTCCGCTATTTTTAAGGATTAGACTATCGAGACATTTTTACTTGACAAATTACGTTACGGTCGTTAAGGAAACTCCAAACTCCACACGGGATTTGGAATCCTTGAAGCTCTTTCTTGCCTCAATAGCGATTGACTTGGGGTTTTTGGGGCTTTGGCTTTCCTCAAATGTTTATAAAAAACACCTGAACAGCAAGGAAGGCGGGAATGTTGCAAAAAGCAGGAAACGCCCTGCCAAAGTGACGACTTTAAGGATTGGCTTGACCAATCCTCCCACCGGTTAACGCTGCGCGTTTTCGTCACCTTGCTAGAGGAACCCGAGCTTACGTTAAGGATAGCATTAAGATTCCGGATTAGATTCGTTTTTGATCGAGCCTTACGAACTCGACTAGACTCTCCACAAGGCGTTTTATACTCTTGTGTAACACGAAGAGCAACAGGCTTCAGTTATCGGTATTTTCCCAAACACCAGTTTGGATGGTCCATCGAGCACAAGGAAAGGGAACACATTAAAGAGCTGTGTAATACGTACGGTCCACATAGTACATAGCACGTGGGAATAGTGAAACATGATCTTTTGTGGAGATCATCTAGCACTAAGCAACGTACAAGTACGCGAGAACGCATTGCAAATTACCTGTGTTGAAACGATGGGAAATTTGCATACCCCTGATAGAAGATTCCGTTCATAGACAATGTTCTAATATAAGTTGCGAACGACCCATAAACTCGTAGAGTTCGAGTGAAAGTTTTAACGTTGTAACTAATTGTTTCGTTGGTCATATTGTTTCGCCAGGATGCATCATATACGGCTCGGATCAAGAAGTTGCCGGAGTTATGAGAGCAGTTAGACGTTGCAATGCTACCGGTGCGTTTTCGTGGATCGGCAGCGACGGATGGAGTGCCAGGGGATTGGTTAGCAATGGTAACGAGGCGGAAGTCGAGGGTACTCTATCGGTTCAACCTCAAGCCAATCCCGTCGATGGTTTCAAAGAGTACTTCCTGAATCTGACCGTCGAGAACAACCGAAGGAATCCATGGTTTGTTGGTAAGCGAATGACTGAAACACGAGAGCTTCATTAAACTTTAGACAGTTCCAACTTCTGAAACCGCAGCTATATGGCAGGGTGCCAACGGAATTCAATAGCCACATGATCGAAAGAACTATCCTCGGTGTTCTCTAGCATATGGAAACGTGAAAATGTGAAAACGATAGAAAAAAAAAACTACCAACGATTTAGAGATTGAAGTCCACGCTTTCCAACGACTAAAGCTTTGTATCAGATCTTTTCTCGTCACTTTATTTCACTTTGAATGAGAAGACTTTTAATCTTTGAGGAATAATAGTGAAAAATATGTTGCAAGTTTACTTTATCGAGTATTTTATAGGAAGTTGAACACGTATTTTGATCGAAATAAAATACGAAGGTAATTGATCGTAAATGGTTTTTAGAATTTTGGGAAGATCACTTCCAGTGTCGATATCCGAACGCGTCGGAGACCCCGCACAATCGTCGATACACGAAACCATGCACGACGAAAGAGCGACTGACATCGCAGAACACGGCGTTCGAGGATCAACTGCAGTTCGTCTCCGACGCAGTCATGGCTTTCGCGTATGCTTTCCGGTAAAACAGAATTTATATAATATGTCTACTAAATATTTTGCAACGTTAAAACTTTGACGGCCGCTGTCACGTATACGTGACTTTGTGAGTTAGCAGACGTTGGCCACTGTCACGTGTGCATGATCTACTGTATCATTCACCATTTCATCATATATTCAACTTATTACGTTTGTTGAGGTTACATTTATAATTCCTTATAATAATATTCCTAGCATCTTCACGTATCTCACTTTGGTCTAGAATATCAGTGGTGACGGACAACGGTCTTCGCGTGATACGTGTGGCCATTAAAATGTTAAGATTGTAAAATTCGCGAAAAGAACTTCGTCTGTGATTAAATAAGAATAGAAACGTTTCGAATGTTCCTCGATAAGCATATTTTCTGTTGTTTCTGTTCTTAGAAACATGCACAGGGACTTGTGTCACGATAAATCCGGACTCTGCGACAGCATGAAACCGACCAAGGGAACGGAACTTCTGAAAGCTCTCCGAGCTGTGGAGTTCAAAGGTGAGGTTGAAGAACATTTCGTTAAAATTGAAACTGAATTAACAGTTTCAAAAAAGAAAATTTGCCTAGCAATTGCTTTTTAGATATTATCAATCCTGTTGAAGTTACTTCTGTCCAAACGAACAAAGTTCCATTTAAGTATACAGAACGTTATCTCTAATACAATGGACGACTTTTCGCCTTTCTGCAACCGTCTGACAAAAATGAGTTTACAACAAAAATCGAACGATACGGGGTGTACGATAGATACCACTAAACAAATTTCGAAAATAGATAAGAAAGGGTGAGAGTGCCTCGTCCCTTCGACCAGCGGTAAACAATGAAAAATTCGTTATTGTTGAAGGTTTGAGCGGAGACAAATTCAAGTTCGACTCGAACGGAGACGGGCCCGCCAGATATAATATTATCCATTTCAAGCAAACCGAGCCCGGCAAGTACAAGTGGATCCGCGTGGGTAAATACCTCGAGGGCGAGCTACGGCTGAACATGTCCGGTGAGTCCACGTTTTTCTTCCCCGCACAAAATTGAACGCCGCTTCTATTTGCTACCTACTCGAATATTCCTTGCAGAAATCCAATTTAAAAATCGTCAGCGGCCTGAAAGCGTCTGCTCCCTGCCCTGCGAAGTCGGCCAGGCAAAGAAGTACGTGGAAGGCGAGAGATGCTGTTGGCACTGCTTCAACTGTACCCAATATCAGGTCCGTGGTTGCGCATACGAGTCGTCCCGAACGATTTTTCACCGGCCAACGACGAACTTACCAGTGAAAAATCGTTCTTCGTTGCGACAAACGTGTTTACGCCGCAACGTTCCGGTATAATTTCACGGGTACCGCATAAACCCCGACTTGCCGCGTACCAACTTTTGCATTCACAACGAAAGTTTACGATCCGGTGAACAGTCTGCGAACCGGGTACATAGCTTCGCTTCTAGAGGGACGATTAATATTTTGTCGACCCTTACGAAATATCGGAGCCCGAGAACAAGCGTTATCCATTTTTAGAATCCGTTTGATGTAGGTTTTTTTATGCATTTTTCTGCGTTTAGCAATGGTTTCGATCTCTTTTGACTGCAATCTGGGTTCTCGTCAAATTACGGGAAACGCGAAATGACACTACAACGACATACATCCCTTTCAATGATTTCATACCCTCGTTTATCGAATTCCAAACGAAGTATATCAAAGCTTTGTGCGTCGGCAATTTCTAGTCGCATTTTCCAACGAATTTGATCTGGCGATGTCAAAAGGGATTAGAAAACATGATCCCATTGCCCTCTGGACTGCAAAGCTAAATTCTAGAATTTGATTCGTGGACGTTGAAAAAAAGATTTGAAAACTCGATCTATCGATTTCTCGTATTCTGCTGTTAGAACCTGTTTATGTTTCAACAAGCTCTATTTTCATTAAAATATAGTATAAACTACACCCTCCTGTTCCCTGTATACATTTTCCAATTTCTATTTAACTTTGGCTTGCGGGCGAAACGTGAAGAAACACCTAGATTGGTTCGCAAGGCCTGGTTTACAGCTTCTTTATACTTCTTGGTTCCTATAATTTGAGCTCGACTTTGAGAAGGAAAGATTCTTGGAAGAATAAATTAATCGAACAAGCAAGATTCCCCGCCTGAGAATAAAATGGAAAACGAGTATCGTCTTTTTGGGCCGAGATTCACCAGCGGCGACCAATCAGCGCGTTCTGCCTTTCCCAGCGAGGCTCTCTAACAATTACTCCTTTGTCTTCTTTTTTTTATCTTGCGCGTCTTGAGAATATTTCGTCGAAAGCACGAACGCGGAAAATATCTCCGGCGCGATACGCTTTTTCGAGCTTCTGAAACGAACTACCCCTTTTACATCATTCTCTTTTGTGATAACTGCTGGAACGAACAAACGCGTGACACATTTAGCGAACTTTATATACAATTTCAATATCTGTTAAATAGATACGGCATCCCAAAGACGAGACACAATGTATTTCCTGTCGACAAGGTACCGTGCCAGACGAGACGCATTCTACTTGCCGGGAAATCCCTGAGGAATTCCTGCGACCCGAAAGCGGGTGGGCAATAGGGGCAATGTCTTTCTCCGCCACAGGGATGCTGGTAAATATTTCTATTCGAGAGAGCAACGCTACTATAACGGAAACATTCTAATTAAAAGAAAGGAGGAATTTCTCAGCAAGTCTCAACACTTGCAATTTCTACCGAATACTACTTCTACCTGTTTAAACTCATAATCAGTCCAAAGTTGATGATCATTTACTGTATAAAATTAGACGAATTTCTCATGTCGTACAAAATTTTAAATATACCTACTACAGTACTAAATATAATTTAAATTGAAAGGCATATCAACGCACGGCACATATTTAAAAAAATGTACTTAACACTAGATTTACGGAAGCCGTCAGTTTGACGGATGTTTGATTTCATATTTAAAATTGCAGAACGCGTAAATATTATTTTTTCACAACTTACATTGAATTTGTTTATTGTAATGGTATGTATATATATTCTAATTAAAAGAAAAATCGTATTTTAAGGTAATCGTCAACATGAAAAGTATCAATAAATATACGTGCGATCAATGCCCGTAAATCTAGTGTTAAAATTGCAATAAATTTCGGGCCTCATTTTTTAGAACAAATTTGAAAATTCAGTAGAGACTTGATAGTATCAAAATCTACGTTCCTTTATCAGTAGTTTAACACTAAACCTACCGACACTTCATGTATACCTATTCCTGCCATAAACGATCAAATGACCAGCGTTTCTTTTTCTTTTTTACGAGACAACGTACTTCTAATTTTTACATTATGTGTATAGACAGTTGTTTCGAAGCTAATTTACAAAACCAGATTACATATTTTTCTCAAAAAACAAACAATAAGAATAAAAGTAAATATTGAGAAAATTCATTGTAAGTATCTATACATACTATAAATAGATAACATTGTATGTTAGAAATTCGAAACTTCTTTTACTTCTGTCCATTACTGAACATATACAATTTTTACTCGTGGATCGTGAATAAAATTGCACCACCACTGTAGCTGGAAGGATTAACGCGAGAAATTTGTTAAATATTCGCAGATAACGTTTTTCGTCTGCGGCGTATTTCTAAAGCACAACGATACGCCGGTGGTCCGAGCATCCGGTCGCGAACTATCCTACGTTCTACTCTCGGGGATTCTACTCTGTTATCTCGTTACGTTTGCCCTCGTGCTGAGACCGACAGACATCGTTTGCGGTATCCAAAGGTAAGAGGTTAAAAGTATGCAACACAGCGTCGTGCCCCCCCCCCCCCATTTTTCTTTGCCCGGAAGTCCTGTACTTGGAAAAATCCAATTTTCCGCGAAACGAGTCGTCCGACGACGAAGATATTAACCGAGAATGCAATACATGATCGATCGAGGCAAAGCTGATGAAGCCTGGAGGCGAAATTCCATCGGGAAGTGAATTACGAGAAATTCGATTACCGGGAATCAGAAGAAGAATATAAAACGGAACGACGAATCTATTAGACGCAAAGTTGCACCTGCTTCCACTCTTAACCCGTTGCGAGCTAGACGCGACATATCATTTCTTTACTAACATTATACACAGGAATATCTCTGAAATTGTTGACGATACTAAAAAATGTTTCCGATAGTCGAGGTATCTTGAAACGTATTTTACCTATATCAGAATATAAACATTCCTTATACAGGGTGTTCGGCCAACCATGGGAAAAATTTTAATGGGAGATTCTAGAGGCCAAAATAAGACGAAAATCAAGGATACTAATTTGTTAATTGAGACTTTGTTAAAAAGTTATAGAAACATTTCCAGCCACACAGTCTATTTTCGGTAACGAATTTTTTCCTCGAAAATACGCAGGATTTCAGGGGTATGTGTATTCACCAAAAATGATTGTAATTGACCCCCGCAACCAAAAATAATTTTTCCAAAACGATTTGAAATTTGTTAATTTTGTCGAAGAATTTGTCCACATTCCTGAATTTTTTTGTCGAAAGTGCGAAGGATTTCGTAGGTATGTGTATTCACCAAAAATGATTGTAATTAACCCCTTCAACCGAAAATAATTTTTCCCAGAACGATTTGAAATTTTTTACTGTAATTTTTTAATAACTTTTTAACGAAACCTCAAACAACAAATTGATATTATTGATTTTCAATCGACAGTAGTTGCTTCGAGTCGACGACTTTGTTGAAAATTAATATTAACAGCTACATCATTTAGGTGTTATAATTAGACTGTGAATCTTTATGCAAATTCATATTTTTATTAACCCCTTGACGAACTATTCAATTCCAAATAATTTTTCAATCGTATACTTTTTTTCGCGAATACCTCGTGAATATAAAAATGTGTTGATTTTAATATAACGGGTGTTCGGCCAACCCAGGGAAAAATTTTAATACGAGATTCTAGAGGCCAAAATAAGACGAAAATCAAGAATATCAATTAGTTGATTGAGGCTTCGTTAACACCTTCGTCGCCCATATTTGGGCTACTGCTCCACGGAAGGGGTGATGCGATGACGAAAGTGTTAAAAAGTTATTAAAAAATTAAATTAAAAAATTTCAAATCGTTCTGAAAAAATTATTTTTGGTTGCAGGGGTCAATTACAATCATTTTTTGTGAATACACATACCCTCGAAATCCTACGCACTTTCGAGAAAAAAATTCCTTACCGAAAATATAATGTCTGACCATACGTTAATATGTTTCCCTGAAATTTCATGCATATGTTTAACACATCATAACTTCTGAACGGATTGGAGGATTTTAATGTTTCAAAAGGCAAACGCCGCGTATTTTAGCGAACAATATATAAAAATCGTAAGAATATTTAAAAAGTTGTTCCTTAACCACGAAAACTGAAAAAACCCCCATAAAAATGGTCCAATCTTCAAACATTCATAACTTCTACAATAGTGAACGTATTTCAATGAAATTTATTACGGAAGTAGAGCTCATGGATACCTACAAAAAAGTACTAAACAAAATTTCCGTAGGACGTCAAACAAATTTATTAAAAATGAAAAATGAATTTTTAAGAAAAGTCAATGGGGGTAGCTGCCTAAATTCTTTGATGAAAACAAATTTTATGTAATCGTTCTGAAAAAATTATTTTTGGTTGTGGGGGTTAATTACAATCCTTTTTGATGAATACATATACCCTCAAAATCCTACGCATTTTCGAGAAAAAAAATCAGTAAATGGACAAATTTTTCGATGAAATAAACAATTTCAAATCATTCTAAAAAAATTATTTTTAGTTGCAGAGATCAATTACAATCATTTTTGGTCACTACATATACCCTCGAAATCCTACGCACTTTCGAGAAAAAAATTCTTTACTGAAAATATACTATGTGGCCGGAAATGTTTCTATAACTTTTTAACGAAGCCTCAATTAATAAATTAGTATCCTTGATTTTCGTCTTATTTTGGCCTCTAGAATCTCCCATTAAAATTTTCCCAGTGGTGGCAGAACACACTGTATATGGGAAGGTAAAAATGGAACGAGCAAATCTGAAATAATTATGGTTACAGGATTAGGAAAATTCTTAACGCAAATAAAATGAAAAGAATTTTAGTTTTCGTAGGGATTATTAAAGAAATTATTTACTGTTCTATAGTGCAATGAATTTTTGAAAAATATAACACTCGGAACTCACCGTATTTGTATGTATGAAAAGTGACGATGGCATGGTTGAATGCTGCAACAGGTTTTCATAGACGCAAGAAAACATTGCGGTGCACGCGCGCTTCATAAAGGACAATGTTAAGTCATAGAGGGGTTTACTGACCCAAGAGCGTACAGCATATGCTATACACTGTTGGAAAGGTCTCACCAAGGCGAATCGACTGATACCATTTTTAACTTCGATATCAGATGGGATAATGTCGAAAAATGGCCTCAAAGTTCGAGATTTTGCGGTTTTGAACAAAAGAAACCGGTAGTAAAAGTTCATCCGATCCGAGGGACCTCGGGTAGGCACCTGAGGAAAAACCGAGGGGTGTAAGCGATACTCTAGCAGATTGGGACGGCAAATGTGCCCCACCACCTTCATTTCAGTGCCGTGTTGGGCCTGCGTTTGCCGCATGGGCCCCGTTCCAAATGCCCACGGCGAAATCGCCAATGGATCAGTTGTTTTTCATGAACATAATATATTCATGGTATACAATTCGCAAGGTATAAGTTGGGAATGTGCAGGTTAGTATTCAGACTAAGGCGTCACTTACAATAGTGAATGGAGTGACATTTTATTGATTGAACGAAACATAATGATGTGAATACTGAATACTAACCTGCACATTCCCAACTCATACCTGCGAATCGTCTATCATGAATATATTATGTTCATGAAAAACAACTGATCCATTGGCGATTGGTGGTGGGGCACATTTGCCGTCCCAATCTGCTAGAGTATCGCTTACACCCCTCGGTTTTTCCTCAGGTGCCTACCCGAGGTCCCTCGGGCCGGATGGGCTTTTACTACCGGTTTCTTTTGTTCAAAACCGCAAAATCTCGAACTTTGAGGCCATTTTTCGACATTATCCCATCTGATATCGAAGTTAAAAATGGTATCAGTCGATTCGCCTTGGCGAGACCTTTCCAACGGTGTATAGCATATGCTGTACGCTCTTGGTTCAGTAAACCCCTCTATGACTTAACATTGTCCTTTCGAACTCAATTTTCTCGACAACGAAGCCCGCTGCTGGACAATTTTATTTCGCATTTTCAATTTACTTTTTCGCGAAAAACCATCGCTTTTTTATACGGTGCCGCGTATCACGGTCCGTTTTGCATATTTATACAGCGACAAACAAAAGTGTAAACACGCAACGTATCGGTATTTATGATATGATAACATTCAGTTCGTTTTTAAGGATATTTAAAGTTGAATGTTTGAAAGAAAAGCATACACTCCCGTGTAAACAAATAAAATCGAACTGTGTAGCGTGGTAAGCGGTATACACTATTGTTCACAATTTCTTCACCAGTGTAATTTGCACAATTTATTTAATAGCTAATTTCTTAATTTTTACTCACAAAACTTTGTTATGTAACAATTACGCGTTGTGGAAATCGCGCTATAGAGTTCCTCTCGCTTTCACTTCTGAAATAATACTGAATGCTACAACTTCCATTTGACTCTGAAAGGTCTTTGGAGCCTTGGATTCGTGCTGACTCGAAACCTCAGGTAAGAAGGGCATGTTTGAAAACAGTCCTCGAGTATACAATAGATGTTCAACAACAAAATGATTCAGATCACGGTGGTCTTACATTTTGCTAACAAAGCCTCGGGTCGAAAAATGGTAAAACAAATTGATCCTGGAAAAAGGTCCTACATTTTAGGTAACAGTGTACAGAATAAAAGACCCCAATTACTGTCACCTGAACAATCGATCCTTATAATATTGCGTAGATTTTTTTATTTATTTATTATTATTCAGTACCACTAATTTAAGAATAAAAATACTGCGACTTTCAGTATTCTAACTTCCATTTATAAATTCAATAATTCAAGAAACATGCATATTTTGTCTGTCAATAATTATTTCTACCCGAATATAGATACTTGTTTACCAATATGAAAAACGCCTGTCTTAAATTCTTAAAATTAACCAATACCCGAATATAAAGGACAGAACTCACAAAATCGATCGTTGATCACTAGATCCGAGCTAAACTAACTTCGTTCGAGTTTCAACTATTTTAACACTTTGACGGCCGTTGTCACGTATACGTGACTTTGCGAGCCAGCAGACGTCGGCCACTGTCACGTGCACGTGATCTACTGTATCAATTACCATTTCATGGTACATTCAACTTATTACGTTTGTTGAGGTTACATTTATAATTCCTTATAATGATATTCCTAGCATCTTTGTGTATCTCACTTTGGTGTACAATATGGACCGTTTATTTTGAAAGTGGTGTAAGTCCATTTTCTCTTGTTTCGAGAAAATTAAAGGTTAACATATCTGTTAATTAAAAAATTTAGGCAAATTATATGAAGTCTGGCAATGTTTCTACTGTTTTATCAATATGTAATTTGGTTATATAAATTGGTTTTAGGCGTATTTTACTAAAATGATGTATACTTACGGGCTGTAAATGGACTTACACCACTTTCAAAATTAGACAATTGTAAAAGTCGTTTAATTTCAATTTTGAAAAATCAAATATCACTTAAAATATACTTCATATTAATCCAATTTTGTTTTCGAATAATGACACGACATAAAATAGAAGTAGTATTTTTAATTTTAGACGCTAATTACATTGTTAAAATTACAAGATATTGATAGTATTTACTTATGCTCTGCATGTGGCAGTGTTTCGAAATATGCATGAAGCACCGGAGGTATTGTATAAGATAATAACTGCTTGATGTCTTTATATTTTTCATAAGTTATAGGCCTGGCATCATGGTACAAAGGCGCCAGGGCGATTTTTTCAAATTTTAGCGGTCTTCCATGACGTGTAGGTAATAAATTTATAGTTTTAAATTCTTTGTCCTTCATCGATGTTTTATATAAAATAGTGTATGGTGCACTTTTGAGAAATCTCATCCAACATATTTGCAACCAATTTACCTGTTCTTCATTAGTGTTTTTTCTTATCTGTTTTTTAATCGCATTTTGAAGATTTTTTATTGAAACGAAATTCTATCGTTTCATTTCATGTAAAATGAATTTATCATGTTTTCTACATCGTGTTATTACATCATAATAACCATCGGCAACCATCTGCTAAGCCACCTACCTCTGTCAATTGGACTTACACCACTTTCATAATCGATGATTATGCAATTTCATTTACCAAACAATTTTAAATTGTACAAAACATGGGAATTTTTTAAGAAATTAAACACGGACTAGTTATACATAAAAAATTTACATGAAATTAAGCATGAATTACGTGATATCTCATTTTTTTCAAAAATGGACTTACACCACTTTTAAAATAAACGGTCCATATCAGTGGTGGAGGACAACGGTTTTCGCGTGACACGTGCGGCCGTTAAAGTGTTAAGAAAGTCATTCTTCAAGGAAAGCTTGAAACAATGTTTAGATCTGATCGGTTTCGCGAGTCGCTGCACTTGGATCGTCTACAAGATGTTTCGCGGTGTTCGACAGATTCGCTGCTGGTTTCTGCTTCACCGTCGTCTACGCCGCCTTATTAACGAAGACAAATCGAATATCGAGGATCTTCAACGCCGGCAAACACGGCGCCAAGAGACCATCTTTCATATCCCCACGATCGCAGCTGATCATCTGTTCTGGCCTGGTGTTCGTGCAAATCTTAATTAATGGAGTTTGGATGATAATCGACCCGGCAGAGGCGATGCATCACTACCCAACGAGGGAAGACAATTTACTTGTTTGTAACAGTTACGTCGACGCCAGTTACATGATCGCGTTCGCCTATCCCATCATGCTGATCGTCGTTTGCACCGTTTACGCGGTCCTCACCAGAAAAATCCCGGAAGCCTTCAACGAGAGCAAACACATCGGTGAGCGTCTTCCACCCGTGGTAACCAATTTCTGGAAATTTTCGTGTTTCCGATATTCGCGTTTTCTACAGTCTTTTCCCTTTAACCTTTTTTCCGATACCGTTGGCTTACCCCGCTGTATCCCGACGTTATAGCGTGTGTTCGCGGCCAAGTGTACGGAAAATGATATTTCCCGGCAGAGGTAAAATTTTATTTGCGACGAAAGGTGTTTCGCACGAACGACTCGGGAAATTCCCTTTTAGGAACGGTCCAAGTTCAGGGAAATGAAACGGTTGTTAATCCGAATGTAATTCTGAATTTTATTACGCTGGCTCAAAAGTTCGAACGATCGGTTGGATAATATCGAGCCAGTCGGAAACTGCTTTTGAATCTAATCTGAAAGGTACTGGGCGAACAATCGTGGAATATTCTTTATTTAGAATGTCTTAAATGGAGTCGCTGAAGATCAATGACGAAACTTAATAATAGCACTTGACGTTCTCGATTGCAGAAAATTAACCCTTCGTTCCGTAATCTAACGTCCTCGCGGATGAGTATCAATAGCTGTTGCGAAATAGGAGATCTGGAAGGGTTCCAAGTCCCAATTAAAATGTGAACTTTTGTGGTCGCGAACTAGTCGGATCTAGAGTAAAGAGCAATAGCAACCACCTGTAAAGACACTACCTAGACCACCTTATTAACAGGAGATAACAATTTTCTTGTACACTACTCTTATATTATACTCATTATTTAAATTTTCCCAACTCTATTTTTGTATATTTCTAAATGACTTCCACTATTTCTTAATTACCATTCTAAGTGAAATCTGCCCAACTGTAATTAAGATTTCTGTCCTAAGCTTCCCCAAAAATGGTAACAGAGATACGAAAAATACTTGAGTAAAACATCTTTTGATCTCGAAATTAGCCCATAACGAGTGTGATATTTCCCATTTAGGTTTCACAATGTACACTACGTGTGTGATATGGTTGGCCTTCGTTCCGTTATATTTCGGCACAGGCAATAACGTCGCTCTAAGAATCACTTCGATGTCGGTGACCATAAGTATTTCCGCATCTGTGACTATAGCCTGTCTCTTCAGTCCAAAGGTAATTTCGCTGGAACAAAGCTTGTAAGAAATTAATATTTTTTAACTCTCTCTCCTTATCTTCGACAGCTATACATCATTTTGATCCGACCCGAGAGGAACGTGCGTCAAAGCATGATGCCAGCCAAATACAACACAACGAAAAGCTCGGCTGTAACAGGCACAAATGCCTCGAGCATGATCGCGCCTTTAACACTAACTGCGGCTACGTGCGATCAAAATAAAACTGTTAAAAAACACATTATCAGCACCATGGACTGTTCGACGCAAAGCGAATGTAAGTAACTCTCAACTATCTCCAATAAACACCTATTTACAAAAAAAAAACTAAAGGATCCTGTATTAAGAAAATAAACTGAATATCAAATTCTAAAAAATTAATCAAATAACAGAAACAATAATACGTACACAACTTTATAATACTATACAGGGTATTCGGCCACCCCTGGGAAAAATTTTAATACGAGATTCTAGAGGCCAAAATAAGCCGAAAATCAAGAATATCAATTTGTTGATGAATGCTTCGTTAAAAAGTTATTAACGTTTCAAATTCCGCCCGTGTTGAATTTTTTTCTCGAAAATGCGCAGGATTTCGGGAATATGTCTATTCACCAAAAATGATTGCAATTGACCCCCGCAACCGAAAATAAATTTTCCAGAACGATTTGAAATTTTTTTTTTCCGTCGAAATTTCACACCTTCTCGAATTTTTTTATAGAAAGTGGGTAGGATTTCGGGGGTATCTCTATCCACCAAAAATGATTGTAATTGACCCCCACAGCCAAAAATAATTTTTTCAGAACGATTTGAAAAAATTTGTTTTCATCCAAAAATTTAGGCAGCTACCCCCTATCGATTTTTCTTCAAAATTCGTATTCCATTTTTAATAAATTTGTTTGACGTCCTACGGAAATTTTGTTTAGTACTTTTTTGTAGGTATCCATGAGCTTCACTTCTGTACTAAATTTCATTGAGATACGTTCACTATTGTAGAAGTTATGAACGTTTGAAGATTGGACCATTTTTATGTGGGGTTTTCTCAGTTTTCGTGGTTAAGGAACAACTTTTTAAATATTCTTACGATTTCTATATATTGTTCGCTAAAATACGCGTCGTTTGCCTTTTGAAACGTTAAAATCTTCCAATCCGTTCAAAAGTTATGACGTGTTAAACATATGCATGAAATTTCAGGGAAACATATCAATGTATGGTCAGACATTATATTTTCGGTAAGGAATTTTTTTCTCGAAACTGCGTAGGAATTCGGGGGTATGTGTATTGACCCAAAATGATTGTAATTGACCCCGCAACGGAAAATAATTTTTCCAGAACGATTTGAAATTTTTTTTTTCCATCGAAATTTCACACCTTCTCGAATTTTTTTCTAGAAAGTGAGTAGGATTTCGGGGGTATCTCTATCCACCAAAAATGATTGTAATTGACCCCGCAACCGAATATAATTTTTTTAGAACGATTTGAAACATTTTTTTTCGCCGAAAAATTTCAACACCTACCCGATTTTTTTACTCGAAAATGGATAGGATTTCGGAGGTATGTCTATTCACCAAAAATGATTGCAATTGACCCCCGCAACCGAAAATAAATTTTCCAGAACGATTTGAAATTTTTTTTTTCCGTCGAAATTTCACACCTTCTCGAATTTTTTTATAGAAAGTGGGTAGGATTTCGGGGGTATCTCTATCCACCAAAAATGATTGTAATTGACCCCCACAGCCAAAAATAATTTTTTCAGAACGATTTGAAAAAATTTGTTTTCATCCAAAAATTTAGGCAGCTACCCCCTATCGATTTTTCTTCAAAATTCGTATTCCATTTTTAATAAATTTGTTTGACGTCCTACGGAAATTTTGTTTAGTACTTTTTTGTAGGTATCCATGAGCTTCACTTCTGTACTAAATTTCATTGAGATACGTTCACTATTGTAGAAGTTATGAACGTTTGAAGATTGGACCATTTTTATGTGGGGTTTTCTCAGTTTTCGTGGTTAAGGAACAACTTTTTAAATATTCTTACGATTTCTATATATTGTTCGCTAAAATACGCGTCGTTTGCCTTTTGAAACGTTAAAATCTTCCAATCCGTTCAAAAGTTATGACGTGTTAAACATATGCATGAAATTTCAGGGAAACATATCAATGTATGGTCAGACATTATATTTTCGGTAAGGAATTTTTTTCTCGAAACTGCGTAGGAATTCGGGGGTATGTGTATTGACCCAAAATGATTGTAATTGACCCCGCAACGGAAAATAATTTTTCCAGAACGATTTGAAATTTTTTTTTTCCATCGAAATTTCACACCTTCTCGAATTTTTTTCTAGAAAGTGAGTAGGATTTCGGGGGTATCTCTATCCACCAAAAATGATTGTAATTGACCCCGCAACCGAATATAATTTTTTTAGAACGATTTGAAACATTTTTTTTCGCCGAAAAATTTCAACACCTACCCGATTTTTTTACTCGAAAATGGATAGGATTTCGGAGGTATGTGTATTCACCAAAAATGATTGTAATTGACCCCCGCAACCGAAAATAATTTTTCCAGAACGATTTGAAATTTTTGAATTTAATTGTTAATAACTTTTTAACGAAGCCTCCATCAACAAATTGGTATTCTTGATTTTCGTCTTATGTTGGCCTCTAAAATCTCGTATTAAAATTTTTCCCAGGGTTGGCCGACCACCTTGTATATTTCATTTCCTTTATTTCTCTCTATCATCGAGGAACTCGAAAGCAGAGCTTGTCGCAAAGCTGTACTACGATTAATTTATTTATCTGGATCCTTAATTGTTCAAATTTTGTTAATTTTAAATCTACGAGATAATCGAATCGATCCTTAATAAGAACATTTATTCTTGCGATATAAGAAATTACTAATTTATATTTAATTTCTAAGAGAACGTGCGATTACTTTTCTGCGCGGCTCGATTATGCTTAATTTAACTTGTTTCGAGTTTCCCTTTTTACGCGGCTGTTAACTGAGATTTTTAATTAAACGTCTCAACAGAAGTGGACGATTTTACGTTCCTGATATACGTAGAAACGCCGCGAGCAAACATCTGCATCGAACAGTTTCCCTCTGAAGCTGATGTAGAATAGTAATTCTACGTAAAAGACGGTGCACTTTATATACAGGGTACACTTGAATCGGAGCACAAAATGAAGAACCATTCAGAACCAATTTTTTCTTTCAAGATTTTCAATTCGTCGAAATGTTTTTCAACAAAACAGAGAGCAACCCTGTTTGGAGGGGCAGTTTCAATTAGAAGACTCGGAACTAAAAGTGTATTTATTAATTACATAAAAGAGCCAAAATGTCGTAGACGCGATGAAAAAGGTAAACACGTAATGATGTAACTAGAAGAACCGACAATGCACAGTCGCAAAACAAGATAGTCCTGTTGTAGTAACGGCAGGAACGCATGACCAATGCGAGTCACCCCGATATTAAATCTTACAAACCCTATGTGAAAAAGTAAATCGAAAACGAGGAATAAATTTTTTTTAAGCGTATCAATTTTGAAAATATGCCAATATCAATGTCTAACATTTTTTTTTTATTAAATTTAAGTATCAATATTTCAAATGAGCTGGAAGACAGTGAAAGTTAATTACACGGTATTTTCCTTTTCAGATTACGAGTTAGAAGTGAAGGATCACAAAAAGGTGAAACCACCACCGACGTTCGTTTCACGATCGACTCAAACTTCCAACCCCGATATGGACTCGAATGCCATCGTGGCGAGCAAAGATCCGAAGGAGAACAATACGACAACGACAAAAGAGAATACCACGACAACGAAACAATTAAATAACAATGCTAGGATAGGAAACGGACCAGTCAATCAAACTGATGTTTCCTTATAGCAGAAAGCTTCCATAGAGTCTGCCATTTTGTCCGCGAATTTAAAACCAATTTCGAAAAAGCCCGTAGTAGTTTAAAGAGACCGTAAGAATAAATACCTTTCGATATTTTGTAAATACGACTGAACATCGAGGTATCGATTTAAATAAAAAAAAAAATAACTGTATGTTAATTGTCCTTAAACCTGCACTACGAACGATGATAAAAAGCTCAAACGAGAAAGTGTGCGGCAAGAATTATTGCAAATCGTACTATCGTGTGTCGCGTATATCGTGTATTTAGATAAAATTGTCTCGTGTACGTATGGTGCATCGATAATAAAATTTAATTATCGAAAATTCGATCCAAAGGTTGTCAAACGTATCGAAGGAATATTAAACGATAAATTGGGAAATATTTCACGGTTCGCGAGAATAAATACACGAGACCATAACAACCCTAAATATACAAAGTTGCACTGTATGTTAAGCAGACGCATAATCATCGATTATGTAATTAATTTTTAAGCCGCGTTTTAAGAATTGCTCTGGTTTTCTCTGTGATCATAGCATACTTCATGTAGCAATCACGGCATAAAAAGTGCGTAAATCTCTTTTGTACATACACAACCATTTTCATTGTGCACATTAACGCAAGTCATTTATAATTAATTGAATTTATTGTAAATACTCGTAGCTCTGTAAAAACTTGGAACTTTCGTAGCCAGATCGTTGCCAAATATAAATAACTGCATCGAAACGAGACGATCTTCTACCGATAACTGTAATTTTTGTAAAAAAAAAAAAAAAAAGAAAACAGTAAAAAAAAAAAGAAAAGAAACGATAGCTGCTCGATACGTGAAAAATATCGTCTATCGAGTCTTCTGTACAGAAACTATTCTCTGTAAATATTATTTAAAACGTAAGACGTAAAACAGTTTGAAACGAAAGTTAAATATTCAAAACTATTAACGATTCACTTGAAAATTTTTGAGATGTGATTATACGAACCGTAGACACGTAGAAATCTTTTTCTTCTTTTCGAATCCTCTCTGCAGACTATAGGAATTGCTACACGTAGAATTAAAGGACGCGACGGTTGCGTGCTGGAATGTTTTCTCACAACATCTAGTCGCTCTAATGTTTAACGTAACGTTAACGCTTCGGTCTCTCTACGAGACAAAAAAAAAAGAAAAGTGAACGTACGACGATGGAAAATTATTCTATAGCATTTGATGTATTGTATACGGTCGTTAGGAATTGCAAACACCTTCCGTGGTGTCGCGACTAAACATGCAAATCTGCGATAAACATATCCACTCTAACCCGTACCGTAGAAGTTGTTTTCCGATAATAATAATTGCGCAGAAATAAGTGTACTGTACGTCATAACGATTACTATTTCGAATAATTACGTTTACATACGTGTGTGTGATGGACTCGAACGTTTTGGATTTTTATAGGACCCGATGAAAATGCGTTTCGCCAGACTTTGGGTACGAATGAGCCCGGTATCCATCGTTTGGTCCGTAGGTATCTTATGTTTCTTCAAACTTTCGTATTAGAACCGACGTAAAGTTCTGTTCCGTGAAACTCCAGGAAACACTCTGAAAATCAACAACCAAAACAGGTTCATTTAAAAATTATATCTCGTCGGACGTGAGAACGCGAGGACAACTATATTTGACTGTTTTTTCGGATCGATCGTTTAAGTAAGGATGTGTACATATGTATTATGAACGTACCATTGTACATATAGGTGCGCATAAGCTGCGAGGCACGAAACGAGAAATGTTAGTTCATACGGAACCAATTTAGTCGTAACGTTCGATTAAAGTAAAACCTCGTAACGGAGGTGCGGAACAGCGCGGCGATAAATTCTGAAAATGCAATGCAATGACAATGTCAAGAACATTAATTACGATCAAACTGTTACGGTCTATAAGCATATTTTAAATACGTACGAACGGTAAGGTAGATACACGAGTTTAAGTGGTATTACGATGTATCCGTTAATGCGAACAAAAAAAAAAGGAAAAAAAATAAAAATAAAAGCAATCATAAAATTATTCGTCCCTAATGTTGTTTTTCCTTCGTTCCATATAGCAATCGATTGATCGATATTAATGGATTAGAAATACAATCACAGACGAGGTATACGAGTAGACCTTTCACCCGATGGACTTTCGTGGCTCGATCTGACTGCCAAACTGATTGAAATTCATTTCTAAATCTGTTTTATTCTAATTGTCGAGACAAAAATACATTGGATGTAAGGTCTGTTCGTACACCTCATCTGTGATACAACTTCTCGTCGTTTATCGGTCAATCATAATCATAAAATAAAAAATTCAGATTATTAAGCCACCCTCGCTATACCGTTTCTTTATACTATTATTCTACCACTTTTTTAATTTTAATTGAAAAATTATTCTCACAGCAATAACGACAAACGATCAAGGCCTGAATTTACTAAGTGCATTGTACTTCTTTATCGAACAATTAATTTTCTAATCAACGACTCGTTTAATTAACCAATATACAAAATATATTTCCAAAAAATAGAGGGTTTGTTCGATAATCAAAATTACCATAAGTGATTTAATAATGGATTATTAATCGATCTTGGCGCGTTTTTACCAACTCTGCTGAACGGAGAAAAGGAAAACACCTTGCTTGGCTATCGTTTTATTTCTCTTGTTTTCTTTTGCGCGCACGAGGTGTATATTTTGTACAATAAGTATGAGATAGTTTCAGGATGTGTTTTATTTCTCAAAAAGTACAAAAATTACAGAGGAGACGATGTGCTGCTTGTCAGTACCGTAGACAGACAGAGGGACAGAATCATCCGATCGGGTTGGTGATATGCCACGAACCCTCACCTAAGCGGAACTTCTCATTTTGGGTCATCGCTCAGTTCATGGTGCTTTACCGGATTAGTAGATCCTGAAAATCCCGATTAGGCGTATCATTTGTGACTTGTACCTCAATACAGATTGTTAGAACAGACAAAACACGACAAATTAAGTACTACCATTAATCCCGTAGATCCCACTTGCACGTTCTATAAACATTAAACCCAAATTCCGAAGAAATTATCTCACAAAAAAAGAAAAAAACAATAACTGTCGTTCGTAAAATTTGTTGGCTATTAATGACGATAACGACGACGAATCGAATGGGAGCTAATATCGATAAACTGTTACTATCGTATCCTATACTAACGAGTGTGAAATAAAAAGAGAAACTATAAGCCTAATACAGTTTACAAGTTGTGATGACCCCCGATTCACAGACGACAAAGGAGAGGCGTTAAAGGGTGCAGAGAAATAGAAAAGCCTCGCTAAAATAAATTATCTTTTTATTCCATTAGCAATTACAACGCTTTGAAATTCGACTGACATTCTTGTTCACTAACGAACGTGTCATTCGTATATCGTTACATTCTCCTAAACATACAACCTTCCTTTTCTTAACAATGGTCGATCCGACTAGTTACGCATCGTTTCATCACTATACCGTCTCATAACTATAAATCGTTTTTAATCAAAGAAAATAATACGAAGTTAACGCAAATGGTAGAAAAGATCAATACTGCTTAAAACACATGTAAGCAACTCATCGCACTGGATCCACCGTCAGTCAAGATACTGACATAGGCACAGACACAATGATAATATATGCAATTCATTGTAATAGTTATCAGACCTTAATGCCTATGAAATTATCGAACCCTGCTTATGTCGTTTTCATCTTACAACACAACGTATAAAATCTTTGGTCTGACTGAAAACTTTCGTACACGCTATATTACAAAATTCGGAAGCTTATCTATAAAAGTATTTTTCTCCTTGCTTCATTTCGTAAGAAAAATGCTCATCGTTTCTGAAGTCTCGATGTGAAGATAATCACAATATGTTTGCTGTTTTCGTAGTACAGTTTTCACTTTCACATCTGTTCTACTTTAAAACACTAACAATAAATAAATAATCAGCATTCAAGTTTAATACGAGCTCGCGTTTACGCGATATTCGTTTGATAAACTTGAACGCGTCTCGGTATAATTATCGTAAGCTCGACTAGTTTTAAAGGTGCAGCGTAATATAAGAAATCTACTACTTCATGCTAAAAAAATTCGTACATTGTTTGACAATAACAAACGGCAACTCTATAATATAAATCCTCTAAGTAAAAATATATATCTCACTTCGTGAATTGTAATTGTAAAATATTTAATCCAATAATAATACCCGCTCGAAACATAAGGCAAAATATATAATGCACGAATTGCATTTTCTAGATTTCCGTTTTTTCCGTCTATAACTCTAAACTATCTTAATATTTTCATGCATTCGTTAACTCCTGACGTATCTTAAATAGAGCGTAATTAATAAATTCGTTTATATATATTACCCTTGCCCACTTTTTTTTTTCGTTTCGTTTTAAATACACAACACAAGTAACACCATATAGAAAAATTTGTAAATTTAAAGTAACAAAATTCTCGTGCAAACAAACATTATTATTAATCAAAGATAACAGTGATGTATGTATAAATAACTCTGTAGTTCTTTAACTGTATTTACAAGATTCTCTTGTCTCAAAATAAAAGCGTTCGATCCCTTTAGAATTTGTATGATATGCCAAAGCATGGCAATAAAATACTCCTCATTCGTAATAATGCTCCTCGGTCACGTTAGTCATCGTTCGTCGCATTTTACATTAACATAGGATTGTACGAATTTTGAATATTGGTGAATGCAAATTACAAGAATATTACAATCCTGTTGTCAATGGGATACATTTCACACGATTAAAGATAACTGAATTTATGTCTTCCAGAACTTACCACTGCCTTTACTACCTTTGACCTTTTGTTGTTTCTTCTTTGGATCTGGAGGAACTGATAATGCTTCTCTAACAGATTCGCTTCCCCCTGTCCCTGAACTACCTCCTGCCATATCAGCCTCCTGTACACCACCACCACAACCTGCTTGTACCGCAAGCAACTTCTTTATGTCAGCGATCTAAAAAGGAATCAAAAACCCATAGCACAAAATTATTCCACTATGTTCCATATTTTTTATCTATTCGTAGGACACTTACGTCTCTTTGTATTCTCTCTTTGTGGTAAGTGGCTTTCTGTTTTTCAACATTAGCTTTCGTAACTTGATCTTCAATGCACGCTAACACAGTATCACAAGCTTGACCCCAAGCAGCTAATGTTTCAGCTACCACACCTGTATCATTGGGTCTAACGTCGCGCCCTAAACCAGCATAATCTACCTCTAATTGTGAATTCTTTTGATCTAATTTTCCATGTATTATGTCCGCATAAATGGCTTCGATTATTAAGTCCTCTAAATCTCTAACGTTCTTTATATCTAATTCCTCCAATAATATAGAATAAGGTATACATCTGGACTTTGTGGCCAATGTAACAATTGTTAAATGTTGAAGCTTTTTCTTTTGCGTAGGTGTTAATTCCAAAACTTTGTCTTTATTTCCCAAATATTCTTTGTACGTGCCATACGCAAACAAGTTCAATGTGTTCCAATATTGAACATAAGGTCCATTTTCTAGCTCTTTGATATTGGGCATATCTAATAATTCTCCAAAAACATTAACACCTGGCGTTTCTACAGCTTGTCTTATTAGCTCCAGTGCAGCTGCACCTTTAGCAGTTTTTGCAAGCAACATAAACTGTTCTAAAGGATTACTAGCTGACTTTTCAGTGGTAGTTCCACCAGTCATTTTGAACCTATCAATGAAACATTAACTGGTAAAAAAAAAACCTATATCCTTTTACTATCTAATGAGAAAGCGAAGGAGTACACAATGAAAAGAAAACATAATGTTTGCGAAATAATTTATTCGAGTATAAAAATAAGTCGAACGACCATCAGAAAGGTTGGGAAACGACCATCCGGTTATATGCTCTTCAAATGAACGTAAATATCGAACGTCAAACAAATATCTAATAATTAGGAAAAGCAATCGATGCACAAATTTACTATTATGTAAGTGAAACTTACTTTGTTCGATGTTTACAAATACCAAATAGCTTTTTCCACCGAATGTGCCTTCGGATACGCACAGGTATGTAAATACAACGGCGTAAGTTCTACCACAAAAGAAAACCAGAACTATCACAAGAGGCTAATTTACAGATTTACAAAATTATCAAACGCAACAGAAATTTGCAATACAGCATCGCATGAAAGCATCGTTCAAAGAAACACTCAGACCGAAATATTATTTAGCTAGAATCAATAAGTTCTTTATGAAGTTCTCGCACGACCATCGTCGTGCAAATGTTGCCGGCACTGGGAACATCGTGTCGAATCGTGAATAACTTCAATGTGCTCTGCACGTTTGACAGAAGAGAGGGGAATGCGTGTTGTTCTCCGTAAATGTGAACGGTTTATGTTAATAGTCTTTCCAAATGATCGTGCCGTTTGATGAGAAATAGTGAACGGAAAAATTTCAAGATTGCAGTTCGTCGGACGATACTGCGCTTGAAAATTCCGCGTAACGGATAGTACAAAATGAAGCCTTTAATCGAATTTGAAGAATGTTTGCGAGACACGCCAAACTTTCGGTAAGAATTGGTTATACTTATGCTCTCTAATCTGCTGTTTAGTTTTTCTGCTATTCCGTCGCACGATGCCCGCACAACTATGACTAAGCCGTTGTATGTGTTTGCGTTGATTATGAGTCTGGCGTCGAAAAAAAACTTACAAACGCCTATCACTTCTTTTTTGTTCCGTAGGCTATGCATCGAGAAAGTGGAAGCAAATGTTGATCTGCTCGAACAAAAGTTAGACAAGGTATTGCCATAAACAAATTGTACTTGTATCAATTATTCTGTAATGGATTATACACATGAAATTAAATTTGTTAAATATTTATAATTGCTTTAATTTACACAAAGAGACTTAACGTTTGACGATTTGTTTATATTATTTACATATTAAATACATATTATTTGTTTATATTATTTACATATTAAAATACGTTAATCATTTTGTCATAGGTGTTAAAAAATTGTGGCCAAATGATTGACACTGGAAAACTGTTCATTGGACAGCAAAGGTATGACATAAAACATAATAGATTCAACATATATATATTTAATTATAAGCATATATGTTTGTTGAATACAAAAAATTGAGAATTGCATTACATCATGATTGAGAGCAATGGTTAAGCTTACCTATAGAAATATTTAATTGACTCAATAAAATATATAAGTGAAAAGAATATTAATTATCACAAGTGGATTGTATCTCATAAGAAAAAGGAGGGAGATTCCAAGCAGTAGAGAGGAATCAGGAAATGTATGAATTGCAGCTCTGTTAGGAATGACTCATACTTATGGTACCCAGCTTGACACAATGAAACTGATATATGTATATACTTGATATTCTTGTTACTCAGAAATCATTAATTGTTTTTAAAATACTCATATTACATATAAACTACAAAAAATAATAAGTATTATTTTTAAACTTGTACTTTCAAATTTATCTAACAAATTAATCTGTAAATATGTTGGTACTTAATTTATATACAAAAAATATATTCTATACAGGGTGTTTGGTAAGTGGTGGTACATGAAAAAATAAGACTAAAATATAGAAAAAAAATTTTTCATGCGAGGCTTTGTTTTCGAGAAAATCGATTTTGAATTTTCGCCGAGTACGCGTGCACTTGATCATATCTTGTTATAACGGATCTCGCTGTAGATCATTGTTTAGATTGAAGTTGATGTTGATAAACACTTCCAATATCACCGAATTGTTTACTAACTTAAACTTAAATTTAAACTGCAATAATAAACATCGAGATAATCATCTATAGCGAGATCCATTATAACGAGACATGGTTAAAGTGCACGCATACCCGGCGAAAATTCAAAGTCGATTTTCTCGAACAGAAAGCCTCACATGAAAAATTGTTATTCTATATTTTGGACTTATTTTTTCATGTAGAATCACCCCCCTTTTCATTTGTACCACCAGTTAGAGAACACTCTGTATAATGTATAATTATTTGTACACTTATATTTAAATAAGATTAAATACTAGATAAATACTCTTTCCTCTAGCCAATTTACCAATAGCCTTTGGGAGTTATCTCTATACTTTAACAATGACTCAGAAATAATGGCTTTTCTAAACAAATTAATTCATGCTTTGCAAGAAATGAACAAATTTCATACTATCTTGCTAGATCAAGCATCTAGGACAGTAGTTAAAGATCTTAATTCCTTCATTAAAAGGTAAGATCAATGAAATGTATTAATTACAGGTATCCCTCAAGTTACGCGGTTAATTGATTCCGCGTAAGTCGAGACTCAGAATTAGTCTCTGAAATATTTTGAAATATATACAAACTATTGTGAAATACCTATTATCTTTTTTATTTAGAAACATTCATTTATAATTACATATATGTATACTATCTTTTTAAATAAAATTGCTCCAAAACCGCGTAACTCAAGGGATACCTGTATATACTATAGCATGTAATTATATTACATGTTTTGTTGTTTAACAACATATATACGTATATGTATTTAATATCACTAATGTTTTAACAGTGATATCAAAACAGTAAAAGAATCTCGTCATTACTTTGAAAAAATTTCTGCTGACTTGGACATAGCTTTAAACAGAAATTCACAAATTCCAAAGTCCAGACCTACAGAATATGAGGAAGCTTCCAATATTCTATCCGCTACTCGATCGTGTTTTCGACACACTGCTTTGGATTATATTCATTCATTGACAATGATACAGGCGCGTAAAAGACATGAGATATTGGGCACATTACTTAATTACATGCATGCATGTATTACATTCTATCATCAAGGAAGCGATCTTGCACAAGATTTAGAACCATTTTTAAAAGATCTTGGTGAAAATTTAATTAAAATGAGAGCTGACTCTGTTAAACTTGAAAAGGAAATGGAAAATCGGCATATTTATGTTACAAACAGAGACTTAATACCTTTCCCGATGCCTGGCAATCCAAAAATGGAAGGGTATCTTTTTAAACGAACTAGTAATGCGTTTAAAACATGGAACAGAAGATGGTTTTGTTTAAAAGACCATCAACTGGTATACAGAAAAAGAACTGGTGATAATGATTATACAATTATGGAAGAAGATCTTCGCCTTTGTACTGTAAAACCAGTGGTTGACTGTGATAGAAGGAATTGTTTTGAAGTATTGAGTCCTACAAAGTGAGTAAACAATGCTATGAAATTGTAATTAGAGCGTAAATATGAGTGTATGTATCAAAAAGAATCAACCATAATGGTATGCATTTTGATACATGTATTACATAATTTACAGGAGTCACATATTACAAGCTGATAGTGAAGAAGCATATTTAGGGTGGGTAACTGCTATGCAGCAAGCAATCGGTGCTGCTATACAAAGAGGTATGGGTGCTGGTACTATTGTTAGTATACGGGAATCACAATCACAGAATATTAGAGGTTCAAGCAGGCAACAGTCAAAGCCTAAATCAAGGTGAGAAAAATATTTATGTTGCATTAACTAAGAAAGAAAAAAGAAAAAAAGATTAATTGATAGCTCTTGATCACAGGGTCTGGGAACAAATCCTAAAGATTTCTGGAAATGATACTTGCTGTGATTGTGGTGGTGCTAATCCAAGGTGGGCCAGTATCAACCTAGGAATTACACTTTGCATAGGTTAGTCATCTGTTAGTAATATTGTAAGAGAAAAATGTTAAAAATTTTCGTAAAAAAAAACACGCCCTTTTTTTTATTTAGAATGCTCTGGAGTGCATAGAAGCTTAGGTGTTCACTATAGCAAAGTTCGTTCTCTTACATTGGATGACTGGGAACCAGAAATATTAAAAGTAATGGCAGAGCTTGGAAATACTGTAGTAAATAATGTTTATGAGGCTTTGCCTGTTCCTTCCAGTATGGTTAGAGCTACACCAAAATGCAATGGGTACGTAACAAAAGAGAATAAATTAAATACTAATATAGATACACGATAAAATATTTTGTTGAACTTACTTATTCAACAGTAATATACGCGAAGCTTGGATAAGAGCAAAATACGTAGATCATAAATTTGTAAGACCCTTGAGTAACATTATTACATCTGGACAACATACGAGTCGCGATAAAATGCATTTCCGTAAATGGAGTGTCCGTAAATTACGCCGTAGACCACGAAGCTGCGACAAGATTGATAGTAATAATCGTAACAAAACAACAACACTATCTTCCGTAACAGAAGGTCACCATTCTAATAGTTCCGATGACAGTAAACACACGTCGATCGAAAGTTTAAGTTCTGTCGACAAAGTGAAAAAAGTGGAAAGAAGTTCCTTAAGTTCCGACGATAGCTCGAATCTAGATCTAAAAAATGATTCTACCCTATACGGAAAGATATTAACACGATCGCGTAGCGATATGCAAGAAAGTAATTCCAAAACCACTATTACCAGTACGGAATCGAATATCGAAAACGAACGTAAACCTTATATTCCTGATATAAAAGACAATACAATATCCACGAGTAACTCTGAGAATAATTTACCACTGAAAAGTGAAGTGTCCTTAAACGCAGAGATTTGTGATGTTAAAGATGTAGAAAATAAGGATATCGGAGCCGAAAATCAGTGTACAGAAAAGGTAGAATCGGACGTATTAATGTTTGGATGCGATTTACCAAAGCCAACAATTGATAACAGTTTAGAATTAAGTTCGGATCAAGACTCGACTGCCGGCGAAGATGAGGAATTCACAGACGAGGAAGATATTGAGAATTTGCATCCTGAGATGTTACTTTATAAAGCTGCTGCAGCGCACAACCTTCCCGTAATGTGTGCAGCTTTAGCGGCTGGTGCTGACAAGTCATGGTCAAATGTTAATGACAGAGGTCGTAATGCTTTACACCAAGCGATTATAAGCGTAAGTGATACAAATTAAAATTAAAACGTATCGTGTAGCTTTTTAAATATTTGCTTGTTTATTCAAACGAAGGGTTCCGTAATGTCGTGTGAATATCTCATCTTAAACGGAGCACGCATCAATTGCCAGGATGCTGATGGAAAAACACCATTGTATTTAGCCACGGAATTAGGTAGGAATTATCTATCGTTGCAAGAACATCTAATTTCATTGTGAGTTTATTGTAAACTCGTTCCTTCGATTTAACTTTTAGGCCACACTGCCCAAGTGTGCTTGCTTCTAAAGCATCGTGCTGATCAGCATATTAAAGACGAGAGTGGTATAAAACCCTTGTCCATAGCTGTGAAAGAAGCTAACGCGGATATTGTAACTCTGTAAGATCAAGATACGTGTATCTTCTTCATCTTATTATGAGTTTTTTGCTTTATTAAATTGATTACCGTTCCAGATTACGACTTGGCCTTTTGAACGAGGAAATGAAAGACTCAGAAATCGGAATTAGCGGTGATGAAACCTTTAACGATGTTGTACGTGACTTTAGCCAATTAGCTTGCTCTCATCCAGAACGGTTGCAACGACGAAATGAGAGTAGTAATGCGTCACAACCGCCCGAATGAGTTTTAAGGATGTGCAAAACTTATTTGCAAAATGTAAAAAGCATGCTACAACGTAAAGAAAAGAAGGAGAAGAATACATCGAAAATGTCGTCTTTCAGTTCCTTGCAGGGTAATAAGGTTGATTACGAATAAACAAGGTAAGTATGCAGAATCGACCTCTAAAGTTATATCGTATCATTGAAAGAAGACAGAGAAATGTTTAAAAAAAGTTGCGTCTCTCTTTACTCTTTGATCTCCGAACAACGGAAATTATTTAAATTTTGCTAGTATCTCTTTTGTACTTGTATTTTTGAAAACCAAGAGACTTTCACATTATTTGCCAAAATGAGAAATAAGTATATGTTATATTTTGCTTACGCATGAAATTATGCTATCCAATGATAGAATGTTAAGACAGCAAGTGTTTTTGTGTGCCTTCTTTCCCGTTTTTCTCTTCAATTTACAGGAAAAGAAAATGAAAGTAACTTCATATTTAAATCAAACACTTCTTCCGATATTTTTTAAAGCGTGATCGTATGATTTAAAAAAGAAGCCTAAAGTTAAAAAAATTTACAAGAATATAACACAAATACAGTTTGAAATTTGAAAATTTCTGCAGACATGTACGAAAAAGTGTAAACTATTATTAGTAGATATTTGTATATCATTTATGTGATATGAAAACCGTGACAAAATAGTTTTAACTCTGTTGTATGAAAAGTTCTACTATTAGCCGACATGTTTTCAATATAACGTGACCTTCAGAGGTATCTTTGGAACAAACAATTTTATACGTATATCTGTTTTTATATACTTAATACTACCAGTAAAGTATATACAACTGGCACTAAAGTAATTGTTTATGTTTGTTTAATTGTAGTAATCTGATATTATATATTAATATCAAATTAATTCAACTATGACATTATTGATACATAGAATTATGTAGTTCGTCTAGAAGTTGTATTTATAAGTAGCTGTATACTGCATCTATTGAATTACCAAAATAGACTAAAGATGATTCCATATAGTTACTGATTAATATAAGTCACGTAACGAATTTGTTGCCAAAAATTAACCGTTTGTACATAAATCTTGTAGATTTGACGACTATTTGACGTTATACTTGAACGAATATTTTATTTCCACGAATTACGTAGAATTAATATCGCAAAGGCATAATTTAACGAAAAATATAAGAATTTTCGTATTTACAATTTTTTGTGACAAATTTTAATGAACTTTTCTATATCGTATTTAAATTATGATTCGATTTCCTTTTCACGATTTCTACAACGAATAAGTTCTGCTTCATTTACGTCTATTTTAGTACTATATACATTTGCATTAAACAGTATTTGTGAAACATTCATAGGTTAATGCATGATTTTTAGCCTGCAATACATAGCGGAAAAAAAAAATTTAGGTGTGAAAAAAAAATATTAATCATTGTTACGAATATTTTTCATGAATATTATTCGTGTAGAGGCTTTATTGATAGTTATAATTCAAAGAGCGAACCCGGATCATTGACACTTGTTTGAACTTGGACGAACAAAATTTTTATGAAAAACATGACATGATTTTCAAATTTGATATATTACCATAGATTTTGTTTCGAATCTGGTATTCGATTTTATAAGAATCTGTTTAATAATTAATACGATGGCGCCTGTATGTAAGCATACTTATAATTAAAATTAGATACTCATTGTTGCACAATTAATTAGCAACAAACTGTTTTCCAGTTTAATATGTACACTGTTATAGAATTTTCATTTACATTCGCACACTTTACAACGCGAATTAACTTTAAAAGAATCTTGGTATTTGGTAATTTCATGTTTTCAAGACTGTGTGGTCGTGTATGTCGAAAATTTCATTCGAATAGAGAATCGATACCACGTATTAGTACTTTGTATTTTGTACTTATATTTTTGTATATGTTTTATATGCATAATCGACAGAAGGAAAACAACAAAATATACACAATCGAATCTTTTTATTGTACGGACGAAAATTGTCTTCCGAAATTGAGAACTGTCTTTTTTACCATCGAAGAACTACATTATAATGTTATTCTAAATTTTATTTCATGCTACGATTGCTCGATCCAATAAGCAGTATTTTTTATATTGTAACGTTATCGATTGTTTCTAAACGAGAACACCGCCAGTACTGCCTAATGTGAAATCGTTGTTATGATATTCTACAAACATCTATACATAAGTTGAGAAAATAATATCATTGTTTCACTGTTACACGTCATTGCAATGAAAATGTGAACGAATTAATTAGTGTACCATACTGTACACAAACTTCACGTCATAAAGCATTGATTATACAAGTAATACACGTTCTTTTAATATCCTTCCCTTCCTGAACCTATACTTTCACATTTAATACAATAATGTGCGATTTTAAATAACAGAAATTTTAGAAAGCGATTTCGAAGATACGTGTTAGAAATAGAGAAATTGCAGCCTGACATTCTTCGAACTGTTCGATAACGATTGAAGTAATTTGGAAAACGCAGGTTGAGAAACTTGCGCAACAAATTATTTGTTATGAAAACGATTGAAATACGACGCAATTCATGAACTGTAGATCGATAAATCCCCACTTATCTAAAGAAACGAATATGCATCGCATGCGCACAATTTACGCGTTGCTCGTGTTAGGTTGCGTAAATTAATCCAAACGGGTCAATACCCTATCGCTGCAGTTATCAGTTCATACATACATCCGTGTGTATCCGTGTACGAGCGTAGAAACTAATTTATCACGGATTTTTCTATCTTCCACAAGAATGTTCCACTTTTCGTTACTAGCATTTGTTTACGAGATCGACCCTTCTACGAATGTAGAAGATACGAACGTGGAAGAAACTTTTTTAACGCTGGAACGATCAGCGTTTTAATTTTCTCACATTTGTTTGATAGATATTCAAAGAAACGTACTTTGTTATTAAAAATATGAAATTTTAAGTAATCGTGACGTAACATACTTATAGTCATTTTTCTTTTTTTTTTTTTATAAAAGTCAAACACCAATATGAAATTCGTTATTTTGGAGGTGTAATAGCGTAACACAATTATCCATTAGAAATTGTTTACTTCTCTTAACTTTCATGAAATATGGCTATAATAACTTTGAAAGTGTATATACTGCATAAATTTAATTCATACTATTTCTACTTATTTACTGTACAACTTTAATTAACACTATTTGTATATCGAAAGACAACTTTTAAAATTTTAACTTGAAATTACATTCTAAGTTTGATCATTTTTCCTCGATCGAGTATTTAACTTTTTCTATAATAATGGTTAAATTAATTTAGCAGTATCTTATCCCTACACTAAGTATTTTTGTTCGCAATTATTTCCACAGTTATCTGCAACGAAGAGACACCATTTTGGTCGAAATAGGTGTGCATAAAACCGCGGTGGAAACAGTGCTAAAGAAAAGTTTACGCAAGCATCCTATAAGAGTATCTTACGACTTACAGGTATTTTTAGTGCTTCGTTAATAGTTGGAGACTGAGTAGTGCATCTAATTGTTACGATGGTATAATTTTCTGAAAAAACTGTACCGACAAGTTCGTTCCGTGCAACGAGCGACTCGGAAACCAGATCGAACACGCGAAAACGTTCGTGTGCGAAATACCCTGGATAAAACGAACACGTCCGCGCGTTTCTAGATCCTCCCAGAGCCAAGAACGCGATACATAGTTCTTTTTGCACATCGATCACCAGGCGTGTAATGCAAGATCGAAAGAAAAACTATGATCAGCCATTGCAGTTCGATCATTGGCTGGAAAACGTGAAAAAGCTCGTTGGACGTCGATCATCGATCGTGGATTGGCTCGATGCAGGTGGCAGTGATAAGGACGAGCGCGGTTTGATTGGTCGAGCCAACCCTTCTCGTTCCCTGATAACGGCGTTGTTTATCAGGGATTCGAGCGTCGATCACTTGCATCGGGACACTGTTGCATCCCGCACGTGTTTATTATCGACGCGTGGTTCGACGATGCAATTAATTGTAAAGTTCCGGCGACGTACGGCAAAAAATTCCACCCGTCCTTTGTACACGCGCGAAAATTTATATCCGAATTTACCTCTATCTGCCCGACCATTTGGCTCGCCCGGCGTCTTCGAAGCATAAAACAAAAAGAACCATCCCGTGACCATTCACCGACGACGAACGAAGAGCGCGTTGAAACCCTCATTACGAGTTAATTCACGGTCCGATTCACGTTCAAAGAGTTCGCTTATAATATATGATTCAATCTATCTGTATCCACGGCGGCAGGCAGTCTACGACGCCTAGAACAGCTCCTATTTCGAACGATTACGGCCTCGAGGTTGCATATGTCATTCCACGCACAGCTGCGTTAATTCTACTGACAGATACGAACAAGCAGCGACTTGAACGTTAATTATTCGACTACCGCCTTTCCATGATTCGTAGCTTCGAAACACATAGCCCCTATGGTACCTCGTCGGATTAGAAATTGAGAAGAGACCGCTCGAATAATTGTAACGAAAGCAACCGAGGTCGTCGCCGGTTCCAAAACAGCACAATCCCGCTTTTTGACACCACGGTGGACGAAATTTCTATAAGAATACACCGCGATACACTGCCAAGAGTTCATTTATCCTATAAATATAGGCGAGAACCGCGCTGTATCATTATCCGTGAAACGGTGCTTGTAAACAAACGTGTTCTCAGTTTAGAATCGTAGGAACGAGATTCGAAGCGAGAACGAAGCATGTTTTCTTCAAAAGTTTTCATAGAATAATTCATTTCTGCAAGGATATTGAGTTCCCTCGAAGCACACGCGTGAAACGAAACGAATTTTTTTTCTTAAAAAAAAACTACAAGCTCGTAAAACACGAGAAGGCCGAGAATTAATGGGTTAAAAATATTATTCGACTGAAACGAACCGTGCAATCGTTTAAGCATGCGTGATTACGCATTGATAATCATGATTTTAAGCGTCGTCGTGATTTGACCCGTTCGTGGAAGCGACCGGTGGTCATCGCGCTGCAATTTATTTTTTACGACGCCGAAAGTAAACATGAATTATTGCGTCAGTAAGGCCGCGGGGCCTTTTGGACTCGCAGTCGCATCGTAAATCAAGGCTCCTGCAAAAAGTTCTAGCGCGGCCACATTTGCGATTGGCTATAGGCCACGAACACGAATCTCTCTTTTTTCCTTTTATTTCGGTATCGGTTTTGGCTTACTAGCCACCCGAAACCGACAATAAAAAACAAAACTAAAACTGCCTGACCCTGTACAAAAACGTCTATCGGGATTTGGTGAATGTTAAACAAAATGCTCTTTAAAAAAAAAAATTAGCGGAATATTGGAAACTTGGAGAATGTTTAAAAACATTCAAACTACTTTGCAGGGATGATTTTTAACCATAGAATTTTTGGTAGGAAACAAAATGATGGACAGTGATCGTTGGTTGGGAAAATTAGAATAATATTAGAAACGTCAGGAATATCTAAAGACATTCGAACTATCATGTAGGATTTTATATAATTTTTAATTTAAACTAATATTTCGAAGGTAAAAATTATTCTGCTCGAAACAATCGAAGGGATCGTTTTTAAAACGTCAATAAAACAATAAATTATGAACCTAAGACAGCTATGAAGTATGTTAGCATCGTGCATGATTTAAGAAAAATAAAATTTGAAATTACGAGATTAGACGATCAGACATCAATTGGAGTGCATTTTGAAGAATGCTTTCGATTAAAAATTATTAGGAAGTTGGTGTCTGAATAATTAATAAACTAATGAATAAGTAATGAACGACGCTGTGAGCCATTTAAACTGTTGAACATCGAGCTGAGAAATAGTCATTCGAACGGGTTGATCTTCCAATTACATCGAACAGCACAAGTATAATGCATAAAGTATTCGAAGTGACTTACACCCTGACTAAATAGAGACCTAAAATCAGTACTATTTTCTTATCGTAATTACGTTACCAGTCTCTCATACTGGAAGCAAAATAATTACCACCAATCGAGGCTACCGTTTGACGATGGAAATATTGTATTCTGAAACGTTTCCACGTTCAGTTTATCGTATACCAGAATGGGATAGCAGAGTTGATTCTCGAGTTCTAACGACGAGAGTGTGAATATTTTTCGATATTATACAGGGTGTTAAAAAAAAACCATTCAATATTTTAATGGTATATAGGATACACTGTACTGAGTAAAAAAGCTTTAGTAAACATAGGTCGAAAGGTCAACCGTTTTTGAGATATAAACATTTTTGTTTGCTAGTTTGACTTAGTTGCTTATTTCAACTTCTTGGTGAATACATTACCTCAGTACTTAGATGATATGCCTTTGGCAGAAAAATTATCGATGTGGTACATGTATGATGGGGAGCCACCTCATTTTGTGCGTAATGTGAGGGACCATTTAAACATGGTGTTCGGTTAAAAGTGGATTGGACGTGGTAGACCAGTTGCATTAAACCCTTTGGATTTCTTCTTATGGAGATATTTAAAAAACCTAGTGTATTCCTCTCCGATAAATGACTTAGAAGAATTACGTAACCGAATCCACCATTCTTGTCAAACAATTCGACAGAAACGTGGAATTTCCGAAAGAGTTCGCAATTCTGTAAAAAGAAGATGCCAAGCGTGTGTAGAAATCGAAGATGAACACATGGAAAATCTTCTGTAAACATCGAAAATTCAGTAGTAAGTCAATTATGATAACAAACAAAAATGTTTATATCTCAGAAACGGTTGACCTTTCGACCTATGTTTAATAAAGCTTTTTTACTCAGTATAATATAAATATTGAATGGTTTTTTTTTTAACACCCTGTATATAAAAATCATACTTGTATTGTTTCCCTGGTTCGAACAATGACCGTCGAAAGGACGCTGCGGTCTGTGTGGTCGAAGGATCGCGTTCTAGTCTAGAAATCGTGGAATACCTCGACTCTGCGACGATTCGAAGAGCGAAATATCCGTCAAGGTGGGCGTGAAAATATGTATTTATACACGTGGACACTTCGCGTTCTCGATATAACGCCAAGTGCGTAGATATCTGTCTGCCGAATGGAACGGCTGCGTAGAAGGTTAGAATGAACCGTAAAGTCCGACGTCTGGTCGATCGACGAAATTAGTATCGCTTACTCACCCTACTAATCACACCGTCTGCCTGGCTTACGAAATTCTGATCCTCCCGCCCCTTATCCCTCCCTTTGGATACGGCACGCTTCGC